AGCAGTCATATAATAGGTTAAAAATTGATTTGTTCTATGAAAGCCTCGAATTCGAATCCCATTTCTGTTAACTAATGCAGCTGTAACAGTTCTCGTTCTATATCCTGGAACATTTCCTCTGAGCCGGGTATTGCAAAGGAAGAACCTGATGCTTCGCTATCGAAAATAAAGGCATAGGCCTAATGGTTTGGTGTCTAAAGGACATTTTACTTCAGTTATGTAACTGTAAAAAACGGGTGGTTTAGACTAAGAACGTGTACATTTTTTCCAGGTTCTCATGAAGTGCATAATTTTATCCCAATGAGTTAGTAGTGTTTGAAGGCTGAATCAGCTGCTTACATTGTATGCTTCCCGGGAAGCCTAGAATGTTTCTTAGTAATTTAAGGTCTATTGGGGTAATAATTAATAATAACCAAAATATTATCAGTAGGCCTATAACGTAAAGCGCATAGACCTTGCTGTCGAGCGGGGAGTAGGCGCGATACGAAAAAGTAATAATTATGCTATTATTTTTATTATCACCCCTCCCTACAAAGGGGCATAACAACTGAAATACTTACCACCTCATTATTGGAGTTGTACTGGTACTTGTCCAAAGAATCACAGTAGATAGAATAGCCCACCTTGAACATTCCTCTCAAAGACTGCAGAGATGAGATATCAAATTATGCTCATTGTTATTCATTTTGATTATATTTTCCGACCTGTGACAAGTGTTGAAATTGGGCTCACCTAAAAAAGATTTGCTCTTTGCATTAGGCTACAGACATTTGTAAGGAGCGCTTACTTGGCAAGAGTACCGGCAAGGGAAGAGGGGTTTTATAATTATGATTGTTTTTTACCACTAAATTTAGTGCTTTTTGGGTCGATTTAGTGTTTTAGTTTTTTTTTGCAGCACATTTAGGCCTAATGGTTTTTGTTTTGATTTGTTTTACTTACAATAATCGTATAAAATCGATTAAATAATTTTGTCAATCTTCTATTAAACGCTATAAACCAAATAAATGCGAAAATTATGACTATGGCGACAGTGGGCGGGAAACCTTTGACGATTTACGATCACTAGTCAGACTGCTCACCATCAGAGATATGTAGGCAGAGACGAGGACCATCAGAAAGTTATACACAATGATGGTGTTTCTCAGCTCCAGAGGTTTGAACGACGCCATCATTTTAGGTCCCTGCACCACGACCAACAGATAGAGGCCAATGGCGTACAGCATCTTGTCAGGGGCTCCCATGAACGGGTAGGTCTCCACCCGGGGGTCTGGGGGAAAAGAGATGGTGGAACTGGAAGGTTCAATTGTCTATTATGATAATATCAGTAGGACTATGGACTTCTGGTCCTGATTTCTAATGCCGAAGTCATTATACATGCCATACGTGGTGGTCGGTACTTCACATATTATCGGAAGTTTTGACCGTCTTTTATGAATTAATATGAATACAAATATAAAACGACCCTCAAGTCGGATTATGCCTTATGATATTATTCACTGTAGTGTGACGAAGGGAAAAGGCTGGGGTGATTGGGGAGAGGGAGGCAGTGGAAGGGGGAGGGGGGAGAGGG